GATCCCAACGACTCACAACTACTCCAGGACTCGGAACTGGAGCGGCAATTGTGTGCCTTTGACTACACCTACGAAATAAATTGGTTGAGACAACTGCTCACCACCAGTGGGTCACCGGTAGTCTTCTCGCACAACGACCTCTCAAAGGGAAATATACTGATCCCCGACGACAGCACCGCCTACGCTGATGGCATGGTGTTCATCGACTACGAGTGGGCTCACTATAACTACCGGGGCTTTGATTTTGGTAATTATTTTTGCAAATTTGTGTTCAACTTTCCCGACCCGGACTACCCCCGGGTGTGCATGGATTTGAACGCCTTTCCCAAGGATTACGATAAGCGACTGTTTATTAAGGAATACATTAAACACTCAAAGAGTTTGACTAATGATAAGCAAACTGAGGATCAAGTGGTGAAAGAGGCCGACTATTTCTCGTTGGCATCCCATCTAATGTGGGCGCTTTGGAGTGTGAACAAGGCACATTTATCCAAGTTGGATGTTTATGCTGTATGTGTTATTAAGTATTTTCATGAGTTTTTGATTTATTAGTTTATAATTTGCATTCATAGGAAAATGGTAAGGATAGGCTCACGGCTTATATGGCACATAAGGAATACCTAATTAGAGAATATCATATCAAATAACTGTTGCATTAAATTGATTTTTAATTAATTGAATTAATTAATTAAATAATATTTAATTGATTTTCTAAGTAGTATTTAATTTAATGATAGCCTCAGTATAGATCGAAAACGTTCTGCTTTTTCATAAATTTTATTTTTTTAGACTCCTTTTCATTGATAATCAATAAATATTGAAACACAAGTCTTAAATTAAATTAGTTTTATTAAATTTTATAATTATTAAATTTACTTAAAATCTATTTTAATAAAGCTTAATTCTATATTTTGAGTATTTTAGTACACTTTCTGTATAAGTAATACCGTACAAATGCACATAACTTAGACACACTATTGTACAGATAACTTATTTATTATGAACTTACTTTTTATAATTAGCTTTCAAATTACAGATACTGAATAGATAATCGAAAATTTTATAATTTAGTTTTTACATTATTACATTTAAACATATTTTACTGGTTTCTATTTTGTTTATACACTTATATAATTATAAAATTGATAATTTATTAATACTAAAAATGAGATAGTGCACATATTAATATAAGTGCAAGAAAGGTACAAATATACGATAATTATCGGAATTACAGTTCATTTGGAAAGTTGAGTCCCAATTCATGTATAAATATGGTTAACACTATTATCTGTAAATTAATGTTGATTTTAAGTTATTATAACGATTAGATTATTTAGTTTTAAATAAGATGTTTCACTATAAAAATGTAATTTAATTTGTTTTACAGATATGAAACTTAATATTGATATTATATAAATGTTATTACAAAGTGTATAACTATACTAGTTAATTTCTGAACACAATTAAGTAATTTATTTGTAAAAATGAGAGATAAGGCGTTTGACATATGCCGGACATTTCTAAGTGGACAGTGGGATAACATTTCAAGCGATGATTTAATAATTAATAAAATTAGGTAATTCTTTAATGTATTTATTTAATCTAAAATTTAAAATTACTTTTAATTTTTACAGTATAGGGCTAAGCAATCAATTGTATATCTGTTCCCTACCGGATAATCATAAACCTATTGGTGATGAGCCCAGGGATGCACTGTTGCGACTGTACGGCCAGACCATCGATGGGGACGACTATAAAGTGACGGATTCGCTGATAACGATGTTATTGTCTGAACGCAGATTAGGT